AAAGTTGCATACAAATTAAAGTTACGAAAGCTGTGTTATATTTAAATCGAAAGCCACGTTATATTTAAAGTTAGGACTAAGGATAATGTGACATCTGTATATATATTTCACAAAGAACATTTTTAATTAGACCACAGAAGGTGGTTTCCTAATTAAAATTTAGAGATATTGTTTTTAAAAAAGTGTTTTCGTTTCAATTTTTTCGATTGGTCAAAATTACAAGAGGTGAACAAGTTTTTGTGGGAGAGCTAGGTGTGTCCTAGGTTCCCGGTATACATTTCTGGTATAATTATTGAAAATCAGCAAAAAATAAAATTATGGAATCGAAATTGAGAAGCGTGAAAATAAAAACATTAATTATTATCGAAAATCCACAGATGTGGCAATGTTGATGGAATATTTGATGTTGGTTTTTGTCATCGTGGGGAGTTAATACTGGAAAGAATGTACATAAAGCATCAAAAATCGCGAAATATGAGGAATGTGAAGGCAACTACATTAGCATCAAGATGAAATAACTATTCACAAGAATGAAAAGAGGGCAAAACGATACAAAAAGAGAAACAAGATTCGAAGCACCTTTGTCCAATCCAGTAGAGAACGGTGCTAAAAAGAATAAATATGAACGGTCGTCAATTATCAAAATCTTCCAAAATGTGGCTTGCGAAAGGAACACAACATTAATGATTGTCATTACCATAGGATGGAGTTGATAAAGATCAACATAGTACATGTAATGTTCTCAGAAATCGATTGAAATGGGATTTTACTGGATTGTGTAATAGATATAAATTTGTTTGTAGCTTCTGTGGCGTTGGAATATAAATTAAACGGAATGGCATAAAGCATTCATTATAATCGGAGGTTCTGCTATAGCTAGTCGAATGGTATTTGGGCGGTATTCAGGATCTGATGGACATGTTGATTTTGGAGCGATCAATATGGAGCCGGTGATAAAAGATTCATAAAAAACATTAGTAAAGTGAGTAGCCTTTAAGATGGAATTGAGGTGAGAAAGGATAATCACAAAGTATAATGAAAAAGGATGTGAATATAATTTAGCCAAGTGGGTGAATTTCATTAAGCTAAGTACATTGTATACCGTAAGTATCTGTGACACTCATAAAAGAACATACAATTGGCAAAGTATTGAAATGGCGAAAGAAGAGCTACTCAAGACTTAGCTATAAGTGTCCTGGTACCAAATCTTCTAATTACGCCACTATTATCGAGAAAATGATAGGTAGCAAGTACTGAGCAACGATACTGGAAACTCAAGAGAAAGAAAGAGTTAATTAGCTATATGCGCAACTCAAGCCTCCAGTCAGTAATTCCAAGAACTCAATACCCAACCGTCTAACAAAAAGAAGCCCGAAATGTTGCCTGAAAAAAGTAAATTAGTGTTAGAAAAAAAAGAAAAGTTTGGAATCGGTTTTAATTTCATATGTTAAACCCGGCTTTAATCGGGTTTAATATATGAAAAATAACGCCTATGCATGCATTATCTCAAATCAAGCGGTGTGAGATGTTCTAAGTAAAAATTATCCTTCGTCCTAACTTTAAATATAACGTGGCTTTCGATTTAAATATAACACAGCTTTCGTAACTTTAATTTGTATGCAACTTT